GCTGACGATGGCTTCGAAACATCATATCTAAGGGAGTAGCACTTAATACATTTTTCTGTTGGCACAGCTTTCAGCGACACTTAGTGGTTTGTGCGCTTAACTAAGAAATGGCGGGAAGGCTTTTCGAAATTTCTTATGAATTATAAGGAAACTTATGGTTAGTACGTTAGTCGTCCGCGAACATCCTATACACAGAGAGGTAGGTGGAGCAAACACTGTTAGACAAGGACACATAGTGGACCTATATGATTCTCTTTCTTTGTTTTACATCTGTCGTTTCCACTTATAGATTCGGCCACCACTAGCGCGGTTTATTCTTATGTATTTATGCGATCTACTGATAATTCAGCCATTTGAAAGTTTTTAATTTGAAGAAATCTGCAGCTAAGATGCATCGATTGCTTGTAGAAGCATATAGTAAGACTGCATTAAGTGAGTGGTTTCAAAAGTTTAAGAACGATGAATTTGATGTCGAAGACAAAGAACGTAGTGGAAGGCCGAAAGTGTACGAAGACGCGGAATTGGAAGCATTATTGAATGAAAACGAATGAAATCATTACTGGGGCTCTCTACCGAACTCAATTGATGAGATTGAGCCGAGCACTCAAGGAAAAACGCGCCCATTATTACTCCAGATACGATAAAATCATTCTTCTGCATGATAATGCTCGTCCTCATGTTGCGGCGCCAGCCAAAATCTAGTTGGAAACATAATTGGGCAGTTTTACCCTACCTGCTGTATTCACCAGATATTTACTCTTTCTGATCACTATTTGTTTCGATCGATGACGCTTGTCTGAGCAGCACTTCACAACATACGAAGATACCAAAAATGAAGTCGATTCCATAGAGATAATATAGGTAGAGTAATTATTATAGATTAGAGATGTAAATTATCTTCTTATCTACTTTAAAGTTGATTGATTTAAAAAATAATTAAAAACTGTTTCCTAAAAATTCATTATTATATTCTATGACATATTTTGACTGCCAAATTGTTAATTATATGACCAAACTTTCACAGATGATTAACACATGGTTTTTTAGCTTTCTAACTTAACTCGTATCACAGTAGGAATATTTATGAGGAATGTACACTGCGGTTTACTTCTAAATACTTAGCTGATTCTTCCTTCACTTTTCTTTTCTTTTAAACTGTTAATATAGTCTTTGAAGCTTTGAATTTTATTTTTATTTCTCAACAGTCGGCGACGATTAACCGCATTTTTATTTCTTTGAATGTGTACGAATCTCATAAAAGTATCCCATCCTTTATCCGTCTTAAAGTCCTCCTTCGAAATAGTTTTGACTACGTATCCATCCATGAAGCGAAACCTTTTATTTGGAGTTCTTTGGCCATTTTCTGAATTCCTTCTGCATGTAACAAACATTTCGATTTGTAATTATATATTTACATATATAGTAGTGCTTTAAATTATGAAATATACCGAAATTTACCTTTCATTCTGAACATTATTCTCTACGCTGGTTACTTCATTTGTAACATCACAAGGAACTTCAACATTTTTGCTAATTACTGGCTCTGTTTTCACTGTTGTGTACCAATTAGTTTCATTTGTAACATCACAGAGAACTTCAACATTTTTATTAATTACTGGCTCTGCAGTTGATAACAATCTTTTCACTATTGTGTAGCCATCAGTTTGATGGTACGATTCAGTTGTGAAATGATCACTGCACACTGACGTGTTACTTGTTACTTCTGTAATTCCAATTATTTCCATCCATTTCTGCTTCCGTTGAAGATCTTTTGGAAATCTGAAAGAGAGTATAATCAGATAATGTGATTTTTTGTAGATATAGATAAGGTAATTCAAAAAAATTACTCCAGAACAAATAAAGTTCTAAAAATGTAGAAATTGAAACTCCTACACCACCAAATTATGTTGGTGTTGTATTATTCAAATATTTTATTATTTTTAAATACTATTTTTTTTTTTAACACTAGATTGCCCAAGGAATTCATTTTGACTGCTTTTGGGCAAATGTACAAATAATAATGCATAAATNGCTGTTTGAACTCTCGATTCCCGTCCTTCTCCGCATTATAAGTTAATGTTATTAAAAAAAAAAATGAAAATTTTCCTTTGCGGAAAAACATGTTTTAACATCTTCTGATCACATGAGACCGCATGAGAAAATAAATTATTTTCATGTCTCATACAATCGTTAATCTTATACACTTTTATGTCAATCTTATAACTAAATTATCTAGCCAGATAAGATGGTAAAATGCGACCAAAATAAATAAATTGGTGCTAAAAAAATAGGAAAAAGTAGTGGCCAACGATGAACAATACTTTGAATAAAACATAAGGTGCTGTTCCTTTGAAATAAATGCCCAATTTAAGATGAAAAACGGCAGAAACTTATTTGTACTCCTAATAATTTATGAGATATTCGAGACTTATCACGTTGCGAGAGTCCCGCTGTATCATGGTAGAAATTATGCTTGTGTTCCCAAGAGTCTAGGACCGTTTCGCGCAGCTTGAAAGGTGATGGAGATGGAGGTCGCAGTGAACTCCCTCCACATGGTAAAGCACTGAGATGCGCAGAACGATCAAAAACTGAACTGTGCCCGGTCGTAGACTTTCAGGA